CCGATAGTTGCTAGGGGGTCTTTTTCTGCCTTTTGGTGGTCATTTGGAGGAAGGCTCCCGTCCTGTCTCTCAGAGTTTTGATGACCCTGCAATAGCCTTTACCATATATAGGTGTGTGGCTGCATATAGTTACATATTGCATATTCAGCTTTTCAACATATTAGCTTGTGACATATTGCGGTTTAAGCCTTATGACATTTTGCAACATATTAGCCCGTTATATTTATCTTGTGGTTTTTCATCGGCTTTTCCTTTTGATGAACAAACTTGAGAAATTAACCTATTACAGGGAGGAGCCCCGGGCCTGGGGCTGTGAGGGGCCGTGAGGGGCCGTGAGGGGCCATGAAGGGCCGTTGGGGACCTTGAGGTAGAGAAGGGTCTCTGAGAGGCTGTGGGAGGCCAGGCACCTCATGGAACCCAGGGTCACTTATGACACTGTGGAACCAAGGAGACTTGTTGGCAGTATGGAAACTTACGGAGTTTCCATACTGCAAACAAAAGTCCATAATGACATTCTGGGGCCTCATGGAACCATGGAGACCATTATGACACTTCTGGACCCACTGGAACCAAGGGGCCATTGTGACACTGCAAGGCCTCGTTTAACCAAGGGCTCATTGTAGCACGGCAGGGCCTCATGGAATCAAGGGGATCGTAGTGGGGCTCCATGAGACCATGGGGACATTCTTACTCTTTGGAACCAAGGAGACCATTGTGACACTACAGGGCTGCATGGAACTGTGAACTGATGTGACAGTGAGGGGCCCAATGGAATCAAGAGGCCATTCCGTATTTCAGGGCTTCATGGACCCAAGGTGCCCTTGTGGCACTGCAGGGCCTCATGGAATCCTGGAGACCATTCTGGCACTTTGAGGCCTCGTTGAATCAAGGGGCTCTGCAGGGCCTTGTGGAACCAAGGAGCTCTTTGTGACACTGCAGGGACTTGTGAAAGCAATGAGAAAAATCTGGCACCCTGAGTCTCCATGGCACCAAGGGGCCACTGTGCCACAGCCATGCCCTGAGGAACCAAGGCTCCATTGCGATCCTGGGGAGCCCAATAGAACCAAGAGACCATTGTGCCATTGCGCTGTTCCACGGAACCAAGGAAACCATTTTGACACTGCAAGGCCTCATGGAATCAAGGGGACATTGTGCTATTGGGGACCCAAAAGACCACTGTGATATCACTGGACTTATGGAAACAAAGATCTGTTTTGATACTATGGGACCTCATGGAACCTAGGGGCAATTGTGATGCTGCAGGGCCCCAAGGATCCAAGAACATGGAAAAGTTCTGGTTGGCTTGGCCTGACTGGTCCCGCTGACCTTGGCATGTTGAGGGTTGCTTCTCATCTGCCCCTAAAACCCTGGACTTCTGTGCTTTCCTTCCTGTGGGAAAGAACTCTCCTCCTCCAGGGGTTCATGGCTGAAATTGGGATTCTACATCCAAATTCAATTATATCGAAGGATGATTCCTGTATGAAACCTGCCAGGACAGACAGCTTTGGGTGGCCTTGGCATCTTGGAGGCCACCTCTCATCTGCCTTCAAAACACAGGGGGACCAAGCTTTTCTTTCCAGGGAAAAATCATCTTTCAGGTGTCCATAGCCAGAATCTGGAATCTGCCTCCAAAATTTCTTATATCCAAGGATAGCTCCCAGACAAAAGCTGCCAGGACTGTCTAGGTTCCCTTGGCTTCCTGAGGGCCAGCACTCATCTGCCTGTGAAACACTGGGGCTCTGTACTCTCCTTCCTATGGAAAAGAACTGTCCTTCTCATCCAGGTGCCCATGGACGAAACTGGGATTTGGCCTCCCAAACTCCATCTACCCAAGAACAGCACCCAAACAAAAGCTGCCAAGACAAACAGGTCTGGCTGGCCTTGGCCTCCTTGGAGCTGCTGCTAACCAGCCTTTGCAACACTGGGGCTCTGCCCTTTCCTTCCTGTGGAGAAGAACTGTCATTCTGGTCCAGGCACTCATGGCTGAAATGGAATTCCACCTCTAAAACTACCCAAATATCCAAGGGTTGCTTTCAGACAAAAGCTGCAAGGACAGACAGGTCTGGCTTGCCTTGGCCTCTGGTGACTGCCTCTGATCTTCCTTCAAACCCCTGGGGCTCTGTGGTTTCCTTCCTGTAGAAAAGAACCGTCCTTCTTGTCCAGGCAGCCATGGCCTCAAGCACATGAGCACTTTACAGGGACAGAGGAGCTCTGGGCTCAGTGGGGTGGAGACTGAGGAGAACAGAGGAGAGCCCTGGGAGGGACTGAAGGGTAGATCATTTTACCATGGTAGAGAACAGCCAGAGAAAGAAAAAAATCAAAGCTATGGGAACCTGGGGAAGACAAGATTAGGAAAAAAGAGAAAGGAATTTCCCTCACAGGGGAGGGCTGTGGTGCAACACATCCCCCAGAAGAAGTCTGGGTCAGCCCAAGGCTTTGTGTGGGCAGGCAGAGGCAGGCAGGAGGCAGAGCTGTCAGCAAAGGAAGGGCCCAGCCAGGTGGGGCAGCCGGGGGATGCCCACAGCCTGCAGGGACAGAGGCACGGGGCAGGGACACCGTAGGACAGCCTGGGCTGCACAGGGCACAGGCATGGGCAGCAGCTGCAAGACAGCCCTGCCAGAGCCAACTTGGGCAGCACTTTGGCCATGGCTGCTGGGCCTGGGCCTGAGGCAGGAGCAGGAGACAAGTGACCCTTGCAGGCCTGGGGCCTCATGGCCTCCTTGTCCCTGCTCAGCAGCCTGGCAGGGGCCGCCCCATGCTCCTGCCCTTGGCATTGCACATCTCCACATGCCAGTGCCCATCCCGGCAAGAGCCCTGAGCAAGGAGGGAGGGACAGGATCTGCCTGGCCAGGCCCTGGGGCTCAGGCCTTGGCCCCTGGCATTCCTCAAACACATCCAGCTTTGCTCAGCACCAGAGACACCTTGGCCTTGTTTGTCCCCAGCTGTCATCACTGCCTCCAGGGTTCTGCTCTAACTGGAACCTGGGGACACTTTCTCAGTCGTGTTCCTCAGTGGAACCCATTAAAACTTCAAGAAACTTAAGTGTTTCAATTTAATTTTGAGTTCTTGAGAAGTTTTCTGAAGACTCTCTCAGGGACTGAGTCTGATGTAAACAACACCAAATCCCCAAGAGACTCATTAAAGTCCTTGTGCTGTGTCTGTGCTGCTGAGCTTTAAAGGAACAGCTCTTCCCAGGGCCAGCTCCTCTCCCAGCCCAGCAGGGCTGAGGGCTCTGCCTGCAGGCACTGAAGGGACAGGAGCCAGGCAGAGACAGGCTGAAGGCAATCAGGATTGGGAAGACATTGAGCTGAGACTCCACCTGGGGAAAGATCTTCACAGCCCTGTGCATGGTGAGTGTGTGGGTGCAGGGCAATGTCCCCTGTGCTCCTGGAGGGATGTCCTGAAGCCAGCACACCCCAGAGCCTGGGGGATGTGTCAGGAGGACTCTCCCAGTTTCTCTGTGGCACAGGAGGAGGAGGAGGAGGAGGAGGAGGAGGAGGAGGAGGAGGAGGAGGAGGAGGAGGAGGAGGAGGAGGATGTGCTGCAGAGCGCGGCTGCCCTGGGCACTGTCAGAGGGACAGGGCAGGACGGCTCCTGCTGCCAGGGATGGCTGCAGGGGCTGAAGCTGGGGCTGCAGCCAGGGCTGCCCAGGGCTGTCCTGCAGAGCAGCTCCTGCAGCCCTCAGGGCTCTTGGCCAGCCCAGGGCATGTGCCACCTGCCAGGGGCAGCTCTCAGCCTGCCTGGCAGCTCCCCATGGACGCTGCAGGGGAGAAGTTCCAGGTGCAAGGAGCCCCCCCCATCAGGGCAGATTCCTCCTGCTCTGGAGATGGTGCTGCATGGCCAGGGCTGCTCTCAGCTTTCTCCTAAAGGGAAGGGAAAGGGGCTGTCAGCTTTGGCTGTGTCCCTGAGCCTCCTGCACTATCACCCTGGGCATCAGCAGATGGGCCTCAGATCTCCCTCAGAAAGTGCCTCCTCAGCCTCCTCTCCCTACAGATAGCAGCAGCAGCACCTTGGCTTGCAGCATCTCTGTTTGTCTGGCCTGCCCTTAAGGCCCTGCTGCCAGGGAGATGCCCCTGGGCAGTGCCCTGTGCTGGGAGGGGTCTGCAGGGCAGAGCTGAGCCCCCAGGGCTGGGCTGGGCTCTGGCAGCACTGGCAGGGGCAGAGTTTGGATAGAGAGAAACAGCTCCCAGCAGGCACAACTCCAGGTAGCAGAGAGCCAGACCAACCCTTGGCATCCCTCCATGTTCAGCTGCACTGGGAGAGAGCAAAGAGTTTCGAGAAAATTAGTTTTAAAACAGGAGCATTTCAAAAGTCCACTTTGTTTTCAAGCACATTTTAAGTCTGATTACCCTGAACTCGAGGGAGGTGTAATGATCAAAGGCCCGTGTGTGGGGACCAGCAGGTCTGACCACACTGGGGCACAGGGAACCCTGTTTTCCCTCTCTTTTCTCCCCAGTGTTCAGCCTGAGTGCAATGCTGAAGATGAATCAGTAACTCAGCCTCAAAAACACCCATTCAAAAAATTCTAGCAAAGTCCCCCCCCCCCCCAAGAATAGAAGTAATTTTGAGGGGATTCCATGCAAAATCCATAGGACTGACTCAAAAAGTTGGACCCAGCTTGTTAATGTCCTCTTTCAGCAGTCCACAATGTCCAGAATGAACAAATGTCCAACAGCAGCTCCATCAGGCACTTCCTCCTGCTGGCATTGGCAGACACGCGGCAGCTGCAGCTCCTGCACTTCTGCCTCTTGCTGGGCATCTCCCTGGCTGCCCTCCTGGGCAACGGCCTCATCATCAGCGCCGTAGCCTGCGGCCACCACCTGCACACGCCCATGTTCTTCTTCCTGCTCAACCTGGCCCTCAGCGACCTGGGCTCCATCTGCACCACTGTCCCCAAAGCCATGCACAATTCCCTCTGGGACACCAGCACCATCTCCTACTCAGCATGTGCTGCACAGGTGTTTTTCTTTATCTTCTTCATTGCAGCAGAGTATTTCCTCCTCACCATCATGTGCTACGACCGCTACGTGTCCATCTGCAAACCCCTGCACTACGGGACCCTCCTGGGCAGCAGAGCTTGTGCCCACATGGCAGCAGCTGCCTGGGCCAGTGGCTTTCTCAATGCTCTGCTGTATACAGCCAATACATTTTCCCTGCCCCTGTGCCATGGCAATGTCCTGGACCAGTTCTTCTGTGAAATCCCACACATCCTCAAGCTCTCCTGCTCACAATCCTACCTCAGGGAACTTGGGATTATTGTGGTTGGTGCCTGTGTAGTTTCTGGCTGTTTTGTGTTCATTGTTTTGTCCTATGTGCAGATCTTCAGGGCTGTGCTGAGGATCCCCTCTGAGCAGGGACGGCACAAAGCCTTTTCCACCTGCCTCCCTCACCTGGCTGTGCTCTCCCTGTTTCTCAGCACCTCATTTTTTGCCTACCTGAAGCCCCCCTCCATCTCTTCCCCATCCCTGGATCTGGCAGTGTCAGTTCTGTACTCGGTGGTGCCCCCAGTCCTGAACCCCCTCATCTACAGCCTGAGGAATCAGGAGCTCAAGGCTGCCCTGAGGAAAATGATGACTGGATGACTTCTGAAGCAACCAATTGCCTGTTTCCTTCTGCACAGTTTTCAGAATGGAACTCATGACAGGCCCAACAGGTCTGCCCAGGTCTTTGGTCGTGTTCAATGGAGTTTTCTGTTATAAAATTATCCTCAATAAAATTTTTTAATCACCCCCAATAAATTCACTGTCCGCCCCTTGAATTTCACCCTGAAGCTCTATAAACCAGGGTTTTGTGCTATCACTACTGTCATGGTATAGGGCAAATTTGGAGGAGAATTTCCAAATTAGGGCCCCTCCAGTAAGCAAACCCACATGGCCCCTTCCCCCAACCGGTTCGGGAAGGATTCCTCGGAGAGGAGTGGAAAGAACCTGTTTATTTAACAAGCACAGCACCCCCCAGCACACAAAGTGAACAATACCGGATGACACCGCTCTGAAAAAAGATGACAAATTCAGAAAGTCTCTTTTGGGTGGTGGTCACTCTGTTCTCAGTCCCTCCAGCGCTGGGGCAGCTGCTGCAGGCCACAAGGTGCAGGATCTTGGTGTTTCTCAGGTCCCAGTCCGGAGCAGGTTCGAAATGGTCAGAAAAAGGAAAGGAGAAACAGTCCAGGAAGAAATTGAACAGTTTAGCTAAACTAGCTAATGAGCAAAAGCAAGCAGAATCGAAGCAAGCAAGAGCGAGAGAGCAAAGTGAAAAGCAAAAGCAGAAAAAGCAAAAGCTGCAGTCTCTGTGTCCCACCAGGCTGATAAGAAAACCAAAACAAAACTTTCCCTCTTCAGAGCTGGTCTTAAAGGTACAGAACATAATATCCAACATTAACAGAACACATGAATGGGGACACAAGCATCATAACGTCACCCTGGGACAACTACTTTTGAAGAAAATAAACTACCTTGCAGTGCCTGTTTTATCTGGGATCCCAATTCTGAGCCCAGCATGAAGTTAGAGGGGAGAAGGGGAAAAGAGTCCCAGCAGAGCAGCACGGCCAGGGAGCAGCAGGGATTGGTCCTTTCAGAGCTGCTCTGCCCAGCTCCACCCTGTCCTTGCCAGCCCTGCTGTGGCTGTAAGGCCGGAGTGCTCTGGCAGCTTGGTCCCTGTCCTGCTGCGTGTCCCTGCTGTGGCCACAGGCAGGGCCAGGCCATGGGCACTGCTGGGACACAGCTGGGCTCCAGCACAGCAGCTCCATCAGCAAAGGGCATCTCCTGAGGGCAGGGCAGGGAGGCTTTGCTCTCCTCCAGAGCTGCTGTCAGCAATGTGCTCCAGGAATGCCCTGGCCCAGCAAAGCCCAGGGCCTAGGGCAGGGGGGAGTGTGCAGGGGGGGCTCACAGCAGTGTCCTGGCCCAGCCAGAGCTCCTGGCATGGACCTGAGGCAGCAGCAGAGCAGGGCCTGGGCTGTGTCTTTGTTCTGGGACAGCCTGGGAAGGTGGCCCAGGGCAATTGTCCCACAGCAGCCCCTGCAGCCACCATTGCCAGCACTGGCCTCTCCCCACCTGCAGGAGGTTGTTTGTCCTTGCATGGAGGTGTGAGAAATTATGCTCACTTCCAAAAAATTTAAAAGGTTTATTAAAACCTTATCAAAAATACAACAGAATACTGAATACAGAAAATATTACGGTGCTGGGAGCAAAGGATTTTTCCTGCAACGTGCTCATCCACACAATGGAGGTTTTGCCTTTTAACCCTTTAGCCTCTCCCAAAGCTCTGTCCATTGACTCCTTCTATGCTGCCCAGCAAAACAGAATCAGGCAAGATGAATGAGTTGTTTAAATTTTTCTTCCCATCAGGTGCCAACCAAGACACAGGAAAAGGCAGAAAAAACCTCATGCATCAGAAGAAATGCAATTCAACAGGGAAAAACCCAAACCCAAGCACAAAAACCCACTCCAAACACAACCAAAAAAACCAAAGTAAAACCCACCACCAACAACACAAAAACCCCACAAACAAACCAACCACAGAAAGAAAAGGCCACAAACAGAAGAAAAGAAAATCCACAGGAAATCTCCCATCAGCAGAAAACATTTAACCACCTTGTGGCAGGACAGGGTTCTGTATGTGTAGGTGTGGTTTTGAAAGAAAAATGTCTTAAAAAGAAATTAATCCTGTACCCCCCTTGCACCCCTGCTTCTCTCAGGTGATTGCTGATCATGGTGTGACATGGAGTGGAACATCCCTTGGGTCAGTCCAGCCCTTCTGTCCCATCCCTGTTCCCCAGGAACACTTGCCCACCCCAGGCCCATCGGTTGGGGGGGTTGCAGACGCCTCATGTGGGGCAAGCACTGAGACAAGGACAGGAGAACTGAACAACATTTACTCTTGTCAAGGAAAGTAGAACAGAACAGCACAGCCTTGGAGAAACTGATTGAGGATGTGCCTCTGGCAAACAGAAGCCACACAAAATGCAAGCAGGATGCCAGCTCAGCTCTGCAAGGCTGACAAAACAGAAGTTATGCAGAACAATAATATTGCCCTTACTCAAAAGGGGGGGGTCAAGAAACAGCCACCTAAAAAGGACACTGGATGTTGAAGACAGACCCCAAAGAACCATGTAAGGACTTGTAATAAGGGGTGCAACAATGTCAAATAAACTCAAAGGAAGTGGGGATAGCTAATGGATACATAATGAGTGTGTGTGATAAAAACCCTGTTCATTCAATGCTCAGTGCACTTGAATGGAGGAAGGATGGCCCAAGTGACCACCATGCTGTAATAAAGAATACCTACTTTCAAATACTCCAAACTGTTCAGAAGTTTCTATCCAGTGGATTTCAGTATCAGTGGTGTCCTTGGCTCCATTATGCCCCACAGTTTCACAATGGCCCCTTGGTTCCATGAGGCCCTGCTGTAGAACAATGGACCCTTGGTTCCATTGGGTTCCGTACTGTCAAAATGGCCTCCTTGGTTCTGCACTGCCTCAATGCTCTCCTTGGCTCCACGAGGCCTTGGTGTGTCACAACAGCCCCTTGGTTCCATCAGCTGCCACAGTGTCACCCAGGTCTCTTGGATCTGCAGTGTCAGAGTGGACAATTGGTCACAAGCAGCCCCACTGTGTCACCATGAATATTTGGTTCCATGGGGACCCAGAATGTCACAATGGCCCCTTGGTTCCATGAGGTTCCACAGCATCACCATGGTCTCCTTGGATTTGCAGTATCTCCATGGACCCTTGGGTCCACGTGGCCCTGCTGTGTCACAGTGGTTCCTTGATTCCATGAAGCCCCACTGCGTAACAATGGAATCTTGGTCCCGTGAGGTTCTGTACTGTCACAATGGTCTCCTTGGTTCTGGACTGTAACAATGGACCCTTGGTTCCACGAAGTTCCATGATGTCACAATGGTCTCCTTGGCTCCATGAGGTTCCATGATGTCACAATGGTCTCCTTGGTTCCAGAGGTTCCATGATGTACAAATGGTTGCCTTGGTTCCCTGAGGTTCCATGATGTCACAATGGTCTCCGTGCTTCCATGAGGCCTTGCTTTGTCACAATGGCCCCATGGTTCCATGAGCATCCATGGTGTCACCATGGTCTCCTCAGATCCTCATTGTCACAATGGACAATTGGCTCCATGGGCCCTGCTGTGTCACGATAAACCCTCAGTGCCATGAGGTTCTGTGGTGTCACAATGGTCTGCCTGGTTCAACAAGGCCCTGGAGTGTCACAATGGCTGCTTGGTTCCGTGAGCTTCCAGAGCATCAAAAATGGTCTCCTTGTTTCTGCAGTGTCATAATGGACCCTGGTTCCATGAGGTCCCTAAATGTCACTGGTCTCCTGGGTTCCATGTGGCCCTGCTGTGTCACCACGGCCCCGTGGTTCCATGAGTTTCTGTACTGTCAGCAATGGTTCCTTTGTTCCAATGAGGCCCTGCTGTGTCACAATGGACCCTGGGTTCCATGAAGTTCTTCAGTGTCACAATGGCCCCTTGGATCCATGAGGTCCCACAGTGTCACCATGGTGTCCTTGGATCCACACTGCCATGATGGACCATTGTTGCAGCTGGAATAGCTGCTAATAAAGCCCAGGGTAGGGAAGCACAAAGGGCCTTTGCATGGTACCCACAGATGTTTGATTCAGCCGTGCAGTGAGATGTTCAGGGTCACAAGGCAGGACTCCTGGGGGGAGTCCAGGTTTCTGTATCTCCAGAGGAAGGGGCTGATCAGTGCCATGGGGGCAGTACAAAGATGGGGGGCAATGTGGGAATGGGGAGGGAGTGGCTGAGGGACACAGAACAAGGGGAAGGAGCCAATGGGGTCAAATAGCTTTTGAGGGAAGCTTCTTGTGTCTCCCTAACCCAGGGAATGCCTCTCAGGGACTCCACAGCTGCAGAGTGTCACAATGGCCCCTTGGTTCTTTTGGGCTCCTCAGGATCCCAGTGGCCCCTTGGCTGCATGAGGCCCAGCTGTGTCACACTGGCCCCTTGCTTCCATTGGGCCCCACAGTGTCACAATTGTCCCCCCTTTGTTCGATGAGGCCCCGCAATGTCACAATGGACCTTTGGTTCCATGAGTCCCACATTGTTCCATGAATCCTTAGTTCCACAGGGCCCTGTAGGGTCACAATGGTCCCTTGGTTCCATGGTGCCACACAGTGCCACAATTGCCCTTTGGCCCCAACAGGGCCTCATAGTGTCACAATGGACTCCTTGCTTCCATGGAGACACAAAGTGCCACAGGGGCCCTTTGGTTTCACCAGGCCTCAAAGTGTAAAAATGGCCTCCATGGTTCCATGAGACCCTCCTGTGTCAAAATGGATTTTGGTTCCATGATGCCCCAGTGTCACAGTGGTCTCCTTGGTCCTGCACTTTAATAATCTTCCCTTGGTCGCAGGGACCCCCACAATGTCACTATTGTGCCCTTGGTTCCATGAGGCCTTGCTGTGTCACAATGGCCCCCTTGGTTCCATGATGGCCCATAGCAGAGCAATGGTCTCCTTGGTTCCACAGTGTTAGAATGGCCCCTTTGTCCCATGGAGCCCCACAGTGTTACTGTGGTCCCCTTGATTCCACGAGGCCCTGCAGTGTCACAA